ACTGGGTGTTATACATAGGGGATGAATCACTGGAATCTACTCCTCTGAAATCATCATTGCACTATATGCTAACTTGGATGCAAATTAAAATAAATAAATACATACATAAACAAATAAATAAATAAAAATTCTGGTAAACATTTTAGATCAAGTCTATATGCCAAATCAGTCGGTAAAAAACACATTCTACCTAAAAAAAGGATTTAATCTTGATGAAGTTTCAATAGATTTCAATGGATTTTCAAAGGATAGAAATTACATACTGAAAAAAAGTCAATTCACCAAAAAGGCAGACAATTTTATTTTTTTTTAATGTTTCTTTATTTTATTTTGAGACAGAGGGAGAGAAGGGAGAGAATCCCAAGCAGGCTTCGAGCTATCAGCATGGAACCCGACATGGGACTTGATCCCATGAACTGTGAGATCATGACCTGAGCAGAAATCAAGAGTCGGACGCTTAACCAACTGAGCCACCCAGGTGCCCCCAAAACATACAATTTTATTTATTTATTTATTAAAAAATTTTTTTTAATGTTTATTTCTGTGACAGAGAGAGACAGAGCATGAGCGTGGGAGGGGGAGAGAGGGAGGCACAGAATCCGAAACAGGCTGCAGGCTCTGAGCTGTCAGCACAGCGCCTGATGCGGGGCTCAAAGTCATGAGCCTTCGAGCTATGAGGTCATGACCTGAGCAGAAATCAGCCACTTAACCAACTGAGCCACCCAGGCGTCGCCCCGCCCTTCAAAACATACAATTTTATTTTTTTTTAATTTTTTTTTTTTTTAACGTTTATTTATTTTTGGGACAGAGAGAGACAGAGCATGAATGGGGGAGGGGCAGAGAGAGAGGGAGACACAGAATCGGAAACAGGCTCCAGGCTCTGAGCCATCAGCCCAGAGCCCGACGCGGGGCTCGAACTCACGGACCGCGAGATCGTGACCTGGCTGAAGTCGGATGCTTAACCGACTGCGCCATCCAGGCGCCCCAAAACATACAATTTTAAAGGTGTATGCACCTAACAACAGAGTTCCAAAATACTCAAACCCAAAACTGTCAGAACTGAATAGACAAATAGACAAATCCAGAATTATAGCTGGAGATTTCAACACTCCTTCCCCATTGACAAAACTAGAAGACAGAAGCTCAGGAAGGATGTAGAAGAACTCAACAGCACCAACAACCAACTGAATCTAACTGGCATTTATAAAACACTCAAGTCATGGGGCGCCTAGGTGGCTCAGTCGGTTAAGCATCAGACTTCGGCTCAGGTCATGCTCTCGCAGTTCGTGGGTTGGAGCCCCGCGTCGGGCTCTGTGCTGACAGCTCGGAGCCTGGAGCCTGCTTTGGATTCTGTCTCCCTCTCTCTCTGACCCTTCCCTACTTGCGAGCCTCTCTCTCTCTAAAAAATACACATTAAAATTTTTTTTATAAAACACTCATAACAGCAGAATGCACATCGTTCTCAAATATAAATCTAACAAAACATGTACAAGATCTATATGCTGATAGCTACAAACTACTGATGAAAAAATTTGAAGACCTAAACAGTTGGAAAGACGCACCACGTTCCTGGATGCCAATTCTCTCTAAATTGTTCTACAGATTTAAAGCAGCTTCAATTAAAATTGCAGCATGATTTTTTTTGTAGGTATAGTTAAGCAGATTCTAAAATTTATATGGAAGGCCAAAGGAACTAGAATAGCTAACACAATTTTGAAAAAGAACAAAGTTGGAGAAATCATACTACCCAATTTTTTAAAACTTTTTTTTTAATGTTTATTTATTTTTGAGAGAGAGAGAGAGCAGGGGAGGGGCAGAGAGAGAGGGAGACAGAATCCCAGGCAGGCTCCATGCTGTCAGCACAGAGCCTGACGTGGGGCTTGAACCCATGAACCATGAGATCATGACCTGAGCCGAAACCAAGAGTTGGATGCTTAACCAACTGAGCCACCCAGGCGCCCCTCACACTACCCAATTTTAAGGCTAGTTAATAGTGACAGAAATCAGATCAGTGTTTTCCTGGGGCTGAGGGCAGACACACAGAGGAACCAAAGGAAAGGATTATAAAGAGACACAGAGAAAGTCTTGGAGTAGTGGATGAATTCATTATCTTACTTGTGGTGTTGGTTTCATTGATGTATATATGCGCCAAATTTATCAAATTGTACACTTTAAGTATGTACAGGTCAATTATACTCAATAAACCTATTTTTTTAATAAATTTTTTTAATGTTTATTTATTTTTGAGAGAGAGAGAGAGAGAGAGAGAGAGAGAGAGTACAAGCAGGG